AGAGCAGAGAAGAGAAGAGAAGAGCAGAGAAGAGAAGAGAAGAGAAGAGAAGAGAAGAGAAGAGAAGAGAAGAGAAGAGAAGAGACTTCACTTTCCTAAAGTTACATGTTAATATATCATACAGTACCTCAAGACAAAATATTCAAGCTTCTTTTTCCATAGAATGAAAGTAGGCTAAATAATGGTTTGTATCTGACACATAATGTTTGTTTATTTATGCAGATTTGCGTCATTTTAGGCATTACGTGGGTTTTTATTCTAGAATTTATTTTCATTCTGATTTAAAATAAATTAAAGTGATTACTATTAGACTTTATTATTAAGATTTGAGCTAAGACTATAAATTCAAGACAACAAAATAAAAATAAAATTAAGTATTTTCTTTTTGCATTTTAATTTTTTTGTGAACGCTGAGAATATATTTGTCTTTATTCATGCAGTTTACAGTAATTTTAAGCATTATTGTATGTGGGTTTTTATTCTATAATTTAATTTAATTCTGACTGATTTAAAACAAAATAAAATAATAAAATACTTGCTGTTTACATTTAATTTTTTTTAGTGAACTGAGTAAATATTTTAATGTAATATCAATTTCTACATGTAAATGTAAGTGTATATTTATATTATTTAATGAATAATATTTAATCGTAGAATCATTTATATAATAATATAATATAATTTAATAATATTTTTAATTTATATTAAAATTAAATGTAAATATTATGTGAAACAGAAGAAATAACTGGCCACTGAAACCCTAAATTAGTCGACCACTATTAAAAGAATTCTGTCAAATTCATTTTGTCATCATTTACTCCACTTATTCCTAACCATTTTCTGTCTGTAGTGAAACAAAATAATGAGGCAAATTACCCAAGTTTCTTTTTTCATACAACGAAAGTGGACTGAATAATGTTTTTCACAAAAAAAATGCAGTTTATTTATGCAGTTTAAGGTCAGTTTATGCATCAGAAGGTATTTTATTTTATTTTAAAATTATTTTTAATTTTTAGTTAAAACAAAATAAAAGTGATTATTAGAAGAACTGATTATTAAGATCAATAATTTGAGCCAAGACTATAAACTAAAGATGTCAAATAAAAAGAGATAAAAATAAAATAAAGTGAAATAAAATAAAAATGTATTATTATTATTATTATTATTACTATTAAATAACAAATAATCATTTACTAAACCACTCATTCCAAACATTTTTCTTTCTTTTGTGAAACAAAAAATGAGATCTTGAGGTGAAATATTTAAGCTTATTAGCGAGTTGAATAATAATTTTCCATACAAAATTACAAAAACAAAGTGCACAAGCTGTACAGATTTCATGCTATTTTTAAGTTGCCTTTTTGTCCTTTTTGGAGCTTGACAGCATAAAACACCATCCACTTTCCTTGTGTGGAAAATAGCATATTCATTGTTTAACCAAATGTAAATTTTTGGCTAAGCTATTATTTTAAAGAGTTTAATCATGTCTAATCATCTTTGGTATTGTCACGAATCCGGTCCGTGGTCTTCCGTCTGCTCGCCACCAGAGGTCGCCTTCTGATTACATTGACTCTAACACCACACAAACTGTTGCACATCACCCTGGACTACATTTCCCATGCTCCATTGCACTGATTGGACTCACCTGCAGCCAATCACACACACACTATATACCAACCACTCAAATCCTTCTCTAATGGCCGAGTATTGTTCTGCGTTTATCACTCTCCTAGTGATAGCTGCTTTATGGAGCCATTTCGTGTTTTCATAGTCTAGTCCAGTCTTGCTATTACCGGTTTCCTGATTCCTGCCTGTGTACCTTGGATTATCTATTGTTTTACCGTTCGGACTCTGTTTGCCCCTGCCTGGACTATTGCTGCGTACCTGGATTCTCTCTCTTTGCCTTGCCCTGTTGGATATTGTTGGCCGGACTCTGATCACGTCTTGTCCTTGGAATTGTATCTGACACATAATGTTTGTTTATTTATGCAGATTTGCGTCATTTTAGGCATTACGTGGGTTTTTATTCTAGAATTTATTTTCATTCTGATTTAAAATAAATTAAAGTGATTACTATTAGACTTTATTATTAAGATTTGAGCTAAGACTATAAATTCAAGACAACAAAATAAAAATAAAATTAAGTATTTTCTTTTTGCATTTTAATTTTTTTGTGAACGCTGAGAATATATTTGTCTTTATTCATGCAGTTTACAGTAATTTTAAGCATTATTGTATGTGGGTTTTTATTCTATAATTTAATTTAATTCTGACTGATTTAAAACAAAATAAAATAATAAAATACTTGCTGTTTACATTTAATTTTTTTTAGTGAACTGAGTAAATATTTTAATGTAATATCAATTTCTACATGTAAATGTAAGTGTATATTTATATTATTTAATGAATAATATTTAATCGTAGAATCATTTATATAATAATATAATATAATTTAATAATATTTTTAATTTATATTAAAATTAAATGTAAATATTATGTGAAACAGAAGAAATAACTGGCCACTGAAACCCTAAATTAGTCGACCACTATTAAAAGAATTCTGTCAAATTCATTTTGTCATCATTTACTCCACTTATTCCTAACCATTTTCTGTCTGTAGTGAAACAAAATAATGAGGCAAATTACCCAAGTTTCTTTTTTCATACAACGAAAGTGGACTGAATAATGTTTTTCACAAAAAAAATGCAGTTTATTTATGCAGTTTAAGGTCAGTTTATGCATCAGAAGGTATTTTATTTTATTTTAAAATTATTTTTAATTTTTAGTTAAAACAAAATAAAAGTGATTATTAGAAGAACTGATTATTAAGATCAATAATTTGAGCCAAGACTATAAACTAAAGATGTCAAATAAAAAGAGATAAAAATAAAATAAAGTGAAATAAAATAAAAATGTATTATTATTATTATTATTATTACTATTAAATAACAAATAATCATTTACTAAACCACTCATTCCAAACATTTTTCTTTCTTTTGTGAAACAAAAAATGAGATCTTGAGGTGAAATATTTAAGCTTATTAGCGAGTTGAATAATAATTTTCCATACAAAATTACAAAAACAAAGTGCACAAGCTGTACAGATTTCATGCTATTTTTAAGTTGCCTTTTTGTCCTTTTTGGAGCTTGACAGCATAAAACACCATCCACTTTCCTTGTGTGGAAAATAGCATATTCATTGTTTAACCAAATGTAAATTTTTGGCTAAGCTATTATTTTAAAGAGTTTAATCATGTCTAATCATCTTTGGTATTGTCACGAATCCGGTCCGTGGTCTTCCGTCTGCTCGCCACCAGAGGTCGCCTTCTGATTACATTGACTCTAACACCACACAAACTGTTGCACATCACCCTGGACTACATTTCCCATGCTCCATTGCACTGATTGGACTCACCTGCAGCCAATCACACACACACTATATACCAACCACTCAAATCCTTCTCTAATGGCCGAGTATTGTTCTGCGTTTATCACTCTCCTAGTGATAGCTGCTTTATGGAGCCATTTCGTGTTTTCATAGTCTAGTCCAGTCTTGCTATTACCGGTTTCCTGATTCCTGCCTGTGTACCTTGGATTATCTATTGTTTTACCGTTCGGACTCTGTTTGCCCCTGCCTGGACTATTGCTGCGTACCTGGATTCTCTCTCTTTGCCTTGCCCTGTTGGATATTGTTGGCCGGACTCTGATCACGTCTTGTCCTTGGAATACTCTTGTGTCTTGCCCGTGCCATACCTGTTTGCTGGTGTTTCGACCCTGCCTGTGTTATGGACTATGTCTCTGTCTAATAAAGCTTGCAAATGGATCTGCACGTCTCTCGTCTCGTTCGCCCGGTTACAGGTATTCTGGGACAAGATAAAATCATGTTTTAATATCTTTTCCTCCCGGTACGCACCATCATGGACGCTGCTGCTGGGCAGTGAGATGTTGTGGCTCTGGCTGTCGAGCGTCTCCAGGAAAGACACGAGGTTCTCGTGGTGGGAAAGTTCCTCCGCCACGGGGAACGACACGACCATCATGTTAATGGGGGCATCGCCTTCGGTCAGAGCGCGGAAGAGCGATGGGATTGGTCGGTACAGCTCCTCGACGGTGCTCTTGGAGGAGGCAGGACTGTCATTGTAATTCCTGGGGTTACACATTCCTGTGGGACAGAAAAAAGGAAGAACTTACACACATCATGATGGAAAGTCACAAAAAAAATGTATGACGAACTTTACAAGCAAATGTAATCACAACTGAAGACTACTTGACTTGCTATATACGTACTAACAGCAATAGCAATGAATAATGCATATTTTTGCATTTATTTATTTATTTATTTTAAGTAACTACTGTGACCTAATTTCATACATATTTTATATTTAAATGTAAACGTTTACCTTATATTTATATTATTTTATGAATTATACTTATTTTATTTATCATATTTAAATGTAAAAACTGGAATATATTTAAATCGAAATATTAAATGTGTTTGAAAAAAAGAAAAAATATTCATTGAAAAATTCATGTCAACCACTATTAAAGGAATAGGTTAACCAAAAACAATAATAATTTTGACATCATTTACTCAACTCCATGCTATTCCAACCGGTTTTAAATAACAATTTGAAAATTATAATTTTTTCTCCGTTGAATAAAGGCGGCTGAGTAATCGTTTATTTGTGGGGTATTTTATCATTTCATTTCATTTTGATTGAATATAATATAAAATACAATAAAAGTGATTATAATAATAACTGGTTATTAGGATTATTAAGATTTGAATAAAATAAAATAAAACATTTTCAGTGTGCATTTTTATTTTTTTAGTGAACTTTTATTTTTTTGTAAATATTGTGACGTATTTAAAGTCTTCAGAACACGACTGTGAACAGCAGCTCCACTTTGAGAGATCAACTGCTGTTAAAGATGGTAATCAGATGGTGGATGAAGGTTTTAATAAGGAGCAGAACGCTGCAGAGACCTTGTGTTTCAGATCATCTGTGGAGCGGCTGCCAGCACAGCTGCTTCGGATTAACAAAACCAAGCCAGGTTTGGCCTTCAGGAGCAACACGCATCCCTCCTTTCCCTCTCAGCCAATAAACGAGTGTTTGGAACTGAACGAGCTCTACAATCTGATGCTTTTATGTCCTTGTTGTGAAAATGGATGCATTATGCATTGTGTTCATTTTTAGACTTCTTCTTAGGTATGATGCATCTTTTTCATCTGGTCATAAAACCCTCTGTCAATTTAAAGCTTTATCAGTAGCCTTGTTGTCTAGATAATTACTGCTCATGCATTATCTGTGTGCCATTTGCAATGATTTCAACAGGATACCAATCGAATATAGAGAATGAAAACAGACAAATGTGGCATCTAAAGCATGCTTTGCTTTCCCAAAGCTCTTTTGTTTTTGTATTATGTTTAGGAATGATCTGGTTTAAACTTTTGTACTCTGATTGGCTGTAACAGTTAACCGGGAAAACCTGATCTGAACTGATCTGGAGTTTGTGTTTGAAGCCGTAGCACACAGAGATGAGAGTATCTGGATCAGCTCATTTCTGTCAGAGGAGTGGACACCAGCCGTCCTGTCATCCTCAAACTAGTCCTAATATTTACAAGTGCTCTCACTGGACTGAGAATGAGTCAAACCTGTTAACACAACCTGAGCGTCTTCAGTTTATAGTCTCGGCCCAGCTCTTAATATTCCTAATAATCACTTTATTCTTATAATAATCACTTTATTTTGCTTCATTTATATAATTTGATTATTTTATATTATTATTTTATTTAAAATAAAACGTTTTTTGTAATAATTTTTATTTTATTTTATTTCAGTCATTGTACATACCCCAGATATGTAAAATATATTTGTTTATTTATGTTTTGTTACACACTATGGGAGTATTTATTTTATCATTTAAATTTATATGTATTTACAAAAATAAATAAATAAATAAATAAATAATAAAATAAAATAACCACATAATGTATAGAATATGTATGTATTTATAAGAAAAACCTCCATAATGCATATTTGTATATATAATTTATATATAATTTTATATATAATTTAATTTTGATTGATTGAAAAAATTAAAAAGTGATTATTATAAGACCTGGTAAATAGCATTAAATAGGAGTTGAGCCAAGAACTAATTGGTTGATTGATTAAAATAAACCAATTAATCAAAAAATAAAATAATATAAAATAAGCACATAATGTATTTTTATGGAATATGTATTTATAAGAAAAAAACCTCCATAATGCATTTTTTTAATAATTTAATTTTGATTGATTAAAAAAATTAAAAAGTGATTATTATAAGACCTGGTTAATAGCATTATATAGAAGTTGACTATGAACTAAAATATTTGATTTGATTTGATCATTTAATTTTGATTTATTTAAAAATAAACCAATTAAAATAAAATAAAATAAGTGTTCATGGACCAGCTGTGAGATTTATTTGGAGTTAGAGTGCTGAATGAGTATCGATTATGTATTGATTTCAATCTCACCGACACAGTCGCAGCACTCCTCCCACAGAGAGCTCAAACACAGCATGCACTCCTTACAACACGAACAGTTTCCCTCCGACGGCCGGCACTGACACAGACCCTGTACACACACACACACAATATACATTACGAAAGGCAAACATACAGGGGGAAAATGACATGACGTGGAGGAAGTCTAGCTCACATAAACATGATCTCCAAACACATGTGCTACAGAGAGCCGTGAGTCTTGAAGGAAACATCGAGATCTTTCAGCTGTAAGAGTTCAAAGAAAACCACCCAAAGAGACAAAGAACATTTAAACATGAGAAATAACACCAGGCTGAGAAGAAACAGAGCTGCAAACTGTTCCACGCTGGAAAAAAAAACTCCAAAGCCCCAGCGGAGAGGGGAAAAAGACTGACCCAAACCTGGGACACATTTAGAGTTATAATTACAGAGAAAACAGCAGAACACAGACACACACATTCGGCTCTCTGTGTTTCGTGTTTTGCCAGCAGTTGCGAGGAAGAGGTCAATTTCCAGATGTGTGTGTGTGTGTGTGTGTGTGTGTGTGTGCGTGCGTGTGTGTGCCATTAAAACTTAAAGTTCAGGAGAGGAAACACAGAGAGCTACAATAGAAACACAAAAAAGCAACTACAGAAAAGCCAATACCTGAAAACACACGTGGGCCAGATACTTCCAAAAGAAACAAGCCCAGACAATTCCCGGTCCCTGCCCAGTTCTCTTTAGTTTGGGGAATTGTATGTGCGATTTTCATGCATTCCTTAAAAGAATCATGGAGCCAAACTACATAAAAGCCATAAAAGCTCAGTTTACTTCACTTCAAGACATTGAAGTACAACCTGTCCAAACACAGCCTCACAAACTCCTGCTGTACCTGCAAACAATCCACGCTTTTCATTTGAAAAAGACATGATTCTGCCCAGCTGTGCCATGAAGCCTGACTGTGACTATAATGTCTGATAGCGCATACAAAGTAAAAAAAAAAAAAAAGGTTAATTGTGACCCATCCGCTCTCACAATTAATTTATTACATTTCCAGTCACTTAATAAATAATATTACTACATTCTTGGTTAAATATACAAAATGGAACTCGTGAGAATGGGGGGAAAAAAAATGTATTCTAACAAAACAAAAAATTTTTTTGAAAAATATTTTAAAATTATATATATATATATATATATATATATATATAGACACAAACACACACACTTAATTTTTTTTTTTAAATATGATTAAAATTATTATAATTTTAATAATATTATCATGTTTTTCCTGGTCTTTTATGAATGATTTATCAGTGAATGCTATTGTTATTATAAAAAATATTATTCAAAGCATTTGTCAACTTAACATCATTTTTCATCTTAATGCTCAACCTCTAAATCAATTTTTTGACAGATTTACTTGCAAATATGACACATTACAGAAGAAAAGGTTTAATGATGATCTATTCTCACAGTTAATTTAATTGCAAGTAAGTAAATAAATAAATAATCTTTACTCAAAATCTTTAAATCTATTTTCCTGTTTGGCTGCAAAATATTGTCTATAATTATTGTTTTAGTTATTTTATGCAGTTTATTTTTTACAGTTTTACTCTGAAATATGACACATTACAGAAGCAACATAGTTCAAGCTGACTTATTTTTAGCTCATTTAATGCCTCAGCAATATTAATGTACAGTGTTTATCATGACAATAAAGCACATTAAACTGAAACTGCCGACATTCACTCCTCTCTCTGCCTGCTCTCCAGGAACAAAAACTCCCATACACACATTTATTTATTTATATATACACATATAATAGAAGTGTTATTTGGTGGAGCACAGGGCCGTTCAGGCAGCAGAATAACAGAGAGCAGAAGAAAGTGTGTGTGTTTGTGCTGCACGAGTGTGAAAGTGCTCTGAGCAGACGGGACGTGTGCTGCCTTGCCCCACAAAGCATTCATGTGTGACTAAAACAACCTCAGCTTCCCCACCTCGAGACACACGACTGACAGCCCACAGCTTACAGTAACCACACACACACACACACACACACACACATTCACAGGAACTTTCATCAGATTTCAAACCAGCTACAGAAGCAACATGCATAACAACCAACTAACCACTCTGCAACACCATAGCAACATACCCAAACACACCAGTAACCATACAGGGCATCCTAGCAACTCGGGGTGGATGATAAATCGATATTGATTTGTGTCGAAAAAATAAATCCATCATATCAATAATACAATTTTGAGAAATTTTCGATATTTAGCCTACATCTAGATCAGTGTTTCTCAACCCTGGTCCTGGGCGCCCCCCAGCACTGCACATTTTGTGTGTCTCCCTAATCAAACACACCTGATTCAACTCATTAGCTCATTAGAAGAAACTCCAGGACCTGAAATGGGTGTCAGATAAGGGAGACATACAAAATGAGCAGTGTTGGGGGGGCGCCCAGGACCAGGGTTGAGAAACACTGATCTAGATGATCGGGCACATGAAAATATGACAAACACACTGCTATTTTATAGTGAAACGTACTTCTCAAAATAATAATAATTATAACAAAAATACAGATTATTATAATATTACATTGATTTATTCTTATTATTATTTTCATATCAGACAACCAAGATATTATTTAATCCATGTTTTAATTTATACAGCACCTTATTTGACAAAAAAAAAAGGTTTTGTTGTAAATGAATCGTTATATTTTCATTTGTTTACATTTTTAAGAAATGTAATTGTTTCATTCGAGTTTTAATTTTTTTTATTAAAAATTAATTTCATTCGATTTTTTTTCTAGAAAAATAAAATGAAAACACACAATTTGGGAAAACCAAAACTGATTTCATGGGGCTCTAAATTAAAGGATATTATTGTACATTTCAGTGTTATTTATTATTATTTGCATAATATAATATTTATTAATATTTTGAATTAGCCTTTATTTAAAATTTCAATTTTAATTTCAATTTTAGTAATTTGTTATGTTCTCTCATAACCAAATTTCACTTTCATTCGTTTTTTTTTTTTTTTTGGTGAATATTTTTTATTTAGCTTTCATTTAATTTTAGTTTTAATCATTTTAATACTATTTTATTATATTTTTCAAATTCTAATTTATTCGTTTTTCATCTAATACTTACTTAATATTTTATTTCAGCTTTATTTCAGTTAACAAATTAGTTTTATTAACAATAACTTGTGGTCTAACAAACATGTGGAATGTATTTCCTTCCCCATTAATGGTAGAAAATAAATAATGAGATAAATATTGATATCGAATGATATGAAAAAAATAAAAGTGATAATATTCAGAACACCCTAGCAACGAACTAACCAACCAAAACACACCACAAACTCCCTAGCAACCCCTCAGAAAACCTTAGCAACCACACAACATCCAGAAAATAAGAATCTGTTTTGTTGCTTTCAGCAGGTTTTTCTCATCTGCTCTCGTTTGTCTCTCGTCAGAGCGTGTGCCGGGCTGTTTACTCGTGTAACGTCATGAACCTCTGTGTTTATTCCCCAGACAGATGTCTCACATCCCGAGACTGTCTGTCTCTGTCTCTCTTCCTCTGGGACACACAGACCAGAGTAAACACAGCCAGCAGAGACACACACAGATCCAATCACAGCAGACACGTCAGAAAGAGAGAAAGAAAGTAAGAGAGAGAGGGAGAGGGAGAGGGAGAGAGAAAATAGAAAATGATTAGGAAAGCAGAAACAAAACAAAACAAAACACATCAAAACAAAACAAAACAAAACAAAACACATCAAAACAAAACAAAACGCATCAAAACAAAACAAAACATATATTTGGGGGTGGATGTAGGACCTTCCCAAATACATCTTCATGAAATTATCAGTATCACCATAGTAATTTTTTTGTAAGGGCAGAGATCTAGATTTAAAATTTAAAATCAACACTGAGCCACATGCACAACAGAAAGTGCCACACAGAACACACACACACACACACACACACGCAGCTGTTGTTATGCTCCAGGGAAAACGTGATCCAGTATAACATGAGTTACACCCAGTCGCCCTCAAACACAGCGTTTCTGGAGAGCACAAACCGACAGAAGAACATCACGACATCGCTCAGGTGACACGAAGAAAAAGCTTCTGACTGGAACTTTGTCACAATATTATGATGCTCTGCTCTCAGGCATCTATGTGTTCTGATTCCATGAGAGACAGATATGTAAATGCACCGTTCTTTTCCTTCTGGAAATGTTTTCAAACATTTTTCAGTATTCCACACGTCCAACTTGAGCAACCGAATAGAATTTTGTAAAAAAAAAAAAAAAAATCCTAAAGCTAAATCAATGAATCTTTGTTAATGATGATTAGATTTCCTTCTAGTGTAAATATAAACTCAAACCGTATCAGAGCATGAAGTTTACACAGTTCAGAACCACCTGCTGGAGCTCCTACACCTTCCAGTGAATTTACATCACTTTAACAGGCATTAAATACGGACTTTTATGAATAAACATGACATACAGATTTTATACTCTCAAAACACACAATTTATATCTGTTGAAATATTTCAGAGCAGAGCTAACACTAAAAAATTATATTCACTACAGACATTTTCCATGACTTCTCAAATTCCCTGATATTTTCCATGGGAGGCCTGACTTGTGGAATTCAACATGAATGACTATTAAAAAGTTGATAAAGATGAAAAGTACAATTCTCAAAATCCCAGAGGACAGGAAACATTGGGAACTGATCCGGTGGGACAAATAAGCGTCTGTCTTACCTGCAGAAGACATTTGCTGACGTCACTGGCGCACAGGGCTTTGTTACAGCCGCTGATGAGGGTCAGTCCAGACAGAAGGAATAACAGAGAGATCAGGCCGGGACAGAGGAACAGAGCCGGCCGCATCCTGACCCAAACTCCACACACCTGCGTTCAACACAGACCAACTATTAACAGATCAGATGATGTACAATGAAATATACAGAAATACATATCTAAATAACAATTCACTTTCAGGCAAATGAAATATAGATTTGGATTTAATGAATACAATTTATTTAATAAATAAATAATTACAAAAAATAAAATAAAATGATATATATAAAAAAATATATATATATAATAAAATGACTATATTTTTGGTTAAGTATACACGATAGAACTGAGAATGAAAAAAATGTATTTTTATTTTAACATAAAATATTAAAAATATTATTTGTTTATATATATATATATATATATATATATTAAAAACAGTACTTTCAGCACTTTTATGCATAGCATAAATAATTTTTTTTTAAGCAAACTTGGAAAATATAATCCAGCTACATCACATTCAAGCAAATGAAACACAGATTTGGAATGCAGAACACTGAGAAATCTTTCAGTGGCGTGTTGAACGTTCTTCCTCACATAAAAAAACAAAAAACAAAGAAAAGCGTTGCAGAAACGCCACAAAGACTCAGTTACTGAACAATATAGGCACAAAAACGCACTGACGTCCAAAAGCGCTGGTGTTTCTCAATTATCGCAAACATGACGCAAAAACACTGAGGATTATCACGTCACAGATCTGGCTTACGTCACATCTTTACATGTATTTGACAAATAAAATAAGCGTACTTACTGTGTCACTTTGAAGCGTTCGCAACACTTTCCTTCGGTTTTTGACTTTCTCTCATGCGGATCTCTTGTCTTGGCTCCTTTTACTCTGAATAGAAACATGAGCGGCTTTGATTCACAGAAATGGAAGAAGCGGGTAGAACGGCAATTAGCATAACACACGAACTCAAATGAGGCGTGGCTTACTGGCCCGGATGTTGTTTCGGATGAGTCGGAAACCACGAATCTGCACAATAAATCTTGTTTTAACTCTTCGCTATGTATTTAATGTCTAGTGTTATTAGTATAGGCGTCGATTATTGTTCAGAGCTCTGCTAAAACAGGAAGAATCGCACAAACGAGGTCACATGATACCCGTTACTTTTCACAGCGCTGGTGGGTTTCAGCCAATCACAGTCGCCGGTGCAGATTTACGTAACGTAGCCCGATGAATTCTGATCTAAGCAGGAGGCGAGTGTGGTGAGATTACTCAGTATTGCTAATGTTGTTGGCTCCTTATGATAAACTGTTGGGCTTTTTTTCTCTCATTTGTAAGTCGTTTTGAATAAAAGGATCGGCCAAATTATTAAACGTTTCAAAAGGGCTCAACAAAAGCAAGATTTGGACTGCTAACTGAAGGTTTGGTGGTTCAATCACTATTAACTATCCAATATTATTATTTATAATTATATTTTTAAGAAATAAAATTATAATTTAAATAATACGAATTATAAATTATTGTTATTATTAACTTTAATAAGAATTAGTATTATAATTGCTTTTATTATTAAATATTAATATATGTATAGATATTTTAAATTAATAATATTTATTATTATTATAAGAATATAATAAGAATTTTAATTATATAAATATTAGTATTTTATAAATAATATAATTATATTTTTAAAAACATTTATAGCTCCAAAACAATGCAATATTCATACACTCATACAGATAAAGACTAAACTAAATTCGTTTTTAGATAGTTTTGATAGTTGATTGTTTAATCCGTCCACTCTGCCATCTGCTGGACAAAAAAAAAAAAGTTGAGTTTTATATGCATGCATAAACATCTGTACCCAAAAAGTTACATATAAATGTGTCCAAAAAGTCCAGATTTTTGTGCGTTTCAATTGAGAATTTTGCTTTGAGCATTTATGCAGAGTATAGAAACATTAATATTCACTAGTAAATTCCATGACTTAAGATTTAATAGACTAATGTTTCCATGTCCATGACAGTGGGAATCCTGTTTAGACATTTAAAAAAAAATAATTAATAAAAAAAGGGCAAAAAATATTTCACAACCAATAAAATTTATTCAATTATATATTACAAATATGTACATCCTCATGTAACAAGTAAATATTAAAATAGACATTTTTAGAACCATCGTTCAAAAGGCATTACGTTGTAAAAAATAGGTTTTGTTGTGATCTCACATTAAAACTGTAAAAGTAAGGGTATTTTTTCCTATCGAGAAACCACAACAAACTTTTTCGTTTTTTTTTGAATGTGCGCAAGACACAAGGGACAACACGCAAGAAGTGGATGTTACTAACAGATACAAATGGCAGAAAAGAACCAGGACCACGTCAGTAAACCTCACCACGGTACAACTTTTTAGAAAGGGACGAACTTGCGAAAGCATGCACATTATAGAAATCACAAGTCAAAAAACATCGGATTTGATGAATGCCAAAGGGATAAAAGAGGAATTTAAAAAAAAAAAAAGTATTTCAAAACACATGCTTAAAGAGTTAAGCAAACATCAACAACAACAACAACAAAGAACTTCAATGTGAAAACAACTTTGGTCCATTAAACATTAGACAAAACAAAGTTTACAATCAAAATATTTATTACTTAAATTTTTTCCGTCCTCAGTTTTCTTTCCTTTTTTACAAGTTAAAAACAATAATTACATGGCTATTTACAAATGCACAATCAGTATGTATAAAATAAGTTAAAAAATGAGGAACACAACCTATACATAATCTATGAACACTCACTGTAGAAACATGTTGGATTGAGATCTCTTTCTTAACGGAGGAAAATCTCTCTCGCATGCTTTCCGATGGTGGTCTTTACCCTCCGGAGGCTGGTTTTTCCGATACTCCTGTCGACCCGCGGTCTACCGTTCTGGATGGTGGACCTCAGGGTTAAGTGCGTTTTATTTAGGCCTGCAGTCTATCAGAGCCAATCTGGCGCCCATATGGGGAAGTGCGTTTGGACCGGGAACCAGAACAGCAAACACAGACTGAACTGGTGATGACAGCTAGCCTGGATGTGCAGCGCTTGTTTGTGTTATTTTTCTTTGTTTTTCTTCTTTTATTAGAAAGCGTTCGGTCAACGACATGTGCACCGTGACACACACACACACACACACACACACACACACACACACACAACATACATGCGCACGCACACCTCCAAATCAAGTGCTTCGTGTTTTCTCCCTACGCTCACGTCTTGACATCATCACTCGTCATGGTCCGACAGCTACTAAATCGTCGTCTCATATCGGCGTCAAGTCGAAGTCGTCGTTGACCTCTACGAGGGGGATGTAGAATTCGGGAATCTCGAAGATGCTGGTAGACTTGTAAGTGGCAGGATCCAATTCCTGCAGCTTCAGCTGCCACTCCAGACGCTGAACGGCGTTTAACGCTGCTGCTTCATGCTGCTGACGCATCAAGAGACACGTCTGCAGGAAAACAGAGATTCAAGTCAGTCACACAAGGACAGAAATTCACTTAAGTCACACTTATGTATGAACGTCATTCCATTAACAACAAAATATCAAAGCGGCATGTGAGCTCAAAATATTGCAGTAGCTATCATTATTTCAAATAAAATCAAATTTATTGGAAATGTCATTATCTGACAGGGATTTAAAAGGTCTTTAAAGTCTTAATTTAGCCTTCCAAGAACCAAGGCCTGAAAAGGTCTTTAATAGGAGCAGAAAGTCTTCATAAAGTGATGCACTGCAATAAATCTTACTCAGTATTTTTTGTTTTGATTTCAATACAAATATATAAACATCATTAAATCAACATGCATTTACTTGAGATGCAGGCTGAACATATGAAGTGTTGTCTTCTGAGAAACTGAGCAAAATTAAGTGAGTTTATGCTTAAAACATGCACAGACATCTGTCAATGGGGGGAACTTTAAATTTTAAAGTTGATTTGTTCTTGCTTTAATCATAAAGTCATTTTGCTTATCAAGTATCTTGATTTAAGAATATTTATACAAAAATACTGAGGAAGACCATCACTTTTTTTTTTTTTTTTGCAGTGTGATCAGAAGGTACAGTAAAAGTTTCTATTTTCTAGAGGTTAGGAGCACAGCTTTTCAAGCTATTTTTTGTATATTTATTTTTGTAAAAAGAATTAAAAAGTAACAAGAGGTCTGTTGGAAGTTTGAAGTATTGCTAATACAAGACATTTAGAGACCATATTGACCATATTCCATTCCATTTAGTGCTTACATTTTCTTTACTACTTCTTAAAAAGGACAATTTCACCTTCATAAAACCAGCAGAAACCCTGACCTGTTGCTAAAACTTTAATGTGTGTTTAAGTGTGGCTAATGTGGCCAAAGACTTTTTGGGACCGATGTACCATGACATTTCTACAGATGCTAGTTGTTTGTTGCATTTCATTTCCTATTTCTATTTGCTTTTGTACCTTCAACTTGTCAAACTTGTCGTCTACATCCTGAAGCCAAGACATAAACTGCCTCGCATTGAACCGATCTCTGACAGAGGTCTTCCCATCATCACCCTGAAATGTAAAAAAGACATTAGTAAAGATGAACCATACAGGTACATCTCAAAAAATTAGAATATCATGAAAAAGGTCAATATTTTTTGTCACTCATTTCAGAAAGTGAAACCCATATATTATATAGATTCATTACACACAACCTGGGCTTCCATTACACCTGAGCAGTGCCACAGGCTGATTGCCCCCATGCCACGCCGCATTGATGCAGTGGCAGTAATTCATGCAGAAGGAGGCCCAACCAAGTATTGAGTGCATAGAAATGAACATACTTTTCAGAAGCCTGACATTTCTGTTTAAAATAAAGGCTTGAAATATTTCACTCTATGTGTAATGAATCTATATAATATATGGGTTTCACTTTCTGAAATGAGTGACAAAAAATATTGACCTTTTTCATGATATTCTAATTTTTTGAGATGTACCTGTATGTTGCAAAACTGTTTTTCTGAGGTATTAAAAGAACGTTCCAGAATCAAAACAAGTTAAGCTCCATTGACTTGATGTTGACTGCAGAAAATAATTTAGAATCATTAATTTAAAATAATGTCCTAATAATGTGGCCATTTACCTGGATGTCCTGGGGCATGTTGTATACTTCGGCATCCAATAGGACTGTGCAGGCACTGAATGGAAGCGTCTGATTGGCTAGTGTTCTTGCAGCACGGTAATGAACTCTCAAAACCTCCTGCTCATTGGATACAATCAGCTTTTCCTGGAAGAGCAAATGCCTCAGTCATTTTAAGTTATCTTTATTGCAACAAAATGCAGCAAGCAAAAAACTAAAATATATAGCCTAAAACAAAATATGATTTCTCTGTTTCTGCATATGAATGTAGATGCTTTTAAACATAATTATAGAATTAAGCAGGCTCAAAAGTGGACACTTTTGTAACATTTATGTTTCTACATAATTACATAATACATAATTTATGTTACCATTTAGTAACTACATATCTGTAAAAGAGATTTCCAAACCTAAATATTATGAACAATACAACTAATAACATGTAAAATTATGATAATCATCATCATCATTCTATTTAACTCTTTAATATTATTTTAAGTATATTTTTTAATATTTAATTTATTGTTTTTTATTTATGAAATAAAAAATTATTTAAGTTGTATTTATTTAAAATGTATTCGTTTTTTATTTATTTGTTGTGTTTTTTTTATTTAGAATGATAATTTATTATCATTATTACATGTAGCTTTTAATTTTTTATGTTAAAAAATAATATGTAATATTTATTTGTTTATTTATTTATTATTTACACATTTTCTCACAGATCCCCTGCAGTTCTATCATGAACCCCTAGGGGTCCATAGCCCCTCAGTTCGAGAAAACCCTGGTCTAGAGATTGATGATCAATAAATACAGTACAT